AGGGGCAGGTTATTCCGGGCAAGGGTCTAGCACCTACTGCAGTACATGAGATTTGGGTCTTGGAGTGGGCTGAGTGGAGAACTCGGGAAACTCCCCTATGGGATCATAACTCCCACTGGTGAGCACATGGTCCAGACCTGGGGATTGGGCAAGTGGAGCAAGGTAGCTCCAAATGTTGGAAAATATGTGGGTTGGTTTTCGGAAGGGGGCGGGCCAGGCAGAGCCGAGCAAACCTGAGCTCACCAGCAAGTGCAGAAACCAGGCTGGAGTACAGGTCATGCCAAGCTAGGCATGAGCCTAGCCTGAGCCTACCAGTTTGCATGAGCCAGGGATGGGAGTAGACTGAGTAGGGCCAGGTGCCAGCACCTGCCAGTGAGAGTTGGCAACTGAGGGCAGGCCAGGTCAGGTCAGGCTACAGCATCCAAAGGCAAAGGCCAAGACAGGTAAGGAACTATGCCAAGCTGGGTCAGAGCAACCACTGGCACGTACGAGATCTGTCGGGGAACTAAAGGGGTTCCCACTGGGTGAGTGTGAATGCCAGAGTAGAGGATGATATCAAGTCTGTAGATGGCTGCAGTGTCCCTTGGCATGAGTGTGGACTGGGTCTTGGGTACGCCAGACTGGGTTGGTCTACAGCACCCGTTGGTGCCCGTGAGAACCAAGGTGGGTGTAGGACAGCCTAAATTAGGTCTCCTACTCTGCTGAGCCATGTGTGAGCTGTGTCTAAGTGTGGGACAGGTTAGGCTGTGCCGTAACACCGAACAGTAAAAACCAGAACGGGTGAAGGACATTCAGAAAAGGCCACTATTCCTGGTAGGACAGGAGGTGGACTAAGTAGGGCTGGCCCATGGAACCACTGGTGTGTGCAACACCTGGCACTGGGAGAGGTTCTGATGGGGAAACTTGGGGAACTCCTCTGTCAGGACACAGTCCCTGCAGGCAAGAACCACAATAGGGAGCAGCCGAAACCAGGCCATGGAATGATACCCACCGATATACATTTGGCTCAGATAGGGGCAAACCAGGCTGGGCCAGTTCATATCACCCCTTGGTGAATCAGCATCAGAATGGAGTGTGGGTCGGGCAGGGTCGGGCAGGGCCGGGCCACAACACAAGCCAGTTCACATGAGGACAGGCTGGGCTGGGCTAAGCTGTAGCCCCCACCAGCACGAGCTGGAATTGGGGTCGGCTGGGTCTGTCCAGGCTACAGAACACACTGGCATGCTGAGGTGAGGCAGGCTATACTAGACTGGACCACAGCATCCAACCAGCACATGTGAGATGTGGGGAGAAGGGAGTGAACTTGGCAGGGGGGCTGCATGGGGCTCCCTTACTGGACAACCTCTCTAACTGGAGAGTGTGAGTGCTAGGATGGGGGCAGATCAGGCCAGGCAGGGCTACAACACCTGTTGGCCTGCATGTGAGATGGATCATGGGAAAGCCAGGCTGGGTTGACTGTTCCTACTGGTGCATGCTTAAGCCAGAGTGGGTGTGGGTAGGTTGGGCATTGCTGCAGCAGCGGCAGGCAGAGGTTGGCATAGGATCCTAATTCTGTCAAGTTAAACTGCAGAAACCCCTGGAGAGAGCAAGGTCCAGGAGTGGGAGTGGGTGTGGGCCCATTAGGGAAACAGTGGGCACCTCCCTCTTGGGTCGCCACTCCCACTGGTGAGCATGAGAATCAGGACTGGGACAGGCATGGCTAGACAGAATGGCACCTGCCAGCACATGTGTGGGCTGGATAGTGGGGTTGGTTGCATTGAACTGGGCTTCAGTGTCTATTGACATGTATGTGAGCTGAATGGGATGTGGGACAGATTGGACCACTCTGCTGTACATACTGGTAAGTATGGGAACCAGGGCAGGGGGCAGGCCTGGTGGGGGTTATTGCTGGTTGCTCTGACTAGGCTGCAGCTCCCGCTGGTTTGTGTGGGGGCCAAGTATGCAATGGGCAGGATCGGGCTGAGCCCCACTCATTGGTGTGCATGGAAGACAGGACTAGAGACAGAACTGATCCAGCCACCAGTTCTAATCCCAGCAGCCCTGCTTTCCATTCAGCTCCCTGCTTGTGGCCTGGGAAAGCCGTCCAGGAATGGCCCAAAGCTTTGGGAACCTGTTCCCATGTGGGAGACCCAGAAGAGACTCTGGGCTCCTGGCTTTGAATAGGTGAAGCTCCAGCCATTGCAGCTGCTTGAGGAGTGAATTAATGGATGGAAGATCTTTCTCTCTGTCTCTCCTTTTCTTTGTATATCTAACTTCCCAATAAAAAAAAAAAATCTTGAAAAAAAAAAAGAATGAACCCAGCAATTGCAACTACCAGTGTGTGCGAAAGACTATGCCAGAACCAATAGTGGCAAGCACACACAAGAATCAGGTCTGGGATCACCTCAGATGAAGTTTCTTTGGGAATCCCCCCAACTGAATCACTGGACTCAGAACCCCTACCATGGAGAGAATTGCAGGTTCCATGGTCTGACCATAGAGTGCATATGTTGGAGCTGGGACTCCTCAGTGGCTTAGATGGAGCAGTGGACAGCAAATCCAGGTGCACATGGAGGATATGGATCCTGTAGCCGTCACGGGGTACCACAACAGAGGATGGAGGACAGAACAAATTGATCAACTACCCCAGCCAAGTGTTGGCAGTGAAAAGCTGGGTAAATGGAGACTCTAAGGTGAACAATGTCAACCAACAGAGTCTGGAAAGATGTCATTGTGCTTGGAGTGGCAAGATCAGCAGTAATTCAGAACCATTGAACTATCAACACCTCTTGAGCAGGACCCTTGGAGCTCGCCTGACATCAGTGACCCTGGGATGGTGTCGGGTGGTTTCCCTCCATTCCAGGGTGCAGAGGTGTTTGGGAGGTTGGGTGTGGCTTCTCCCCTTGTATTCCCCTTCCCCCCAGACGCAGGAAAGAATTAAAAAAATGTGGAAATAGTGATCTCACCCACTTTCCCGTAACCCTTGACCATTTGTACTCTAATCATCTATGTAAAAATCATCCAAAGTAAAAATTTAAACAAAAAAAGAAGTCTGTTAAGCATGCCATGAGGGTGCAGCAGGAGGTGCAGCCCATATGTGCCAAGCAGAGGGAAGTGTCACAGGGACATCTGACACTACTAAGCCATCACCTATGTCACAAGGGAAGATTGCCATTGGGCCTGCAAATCTGGAAGATGCTTATCATTCTGGTGAGGGTTTTTTGTTTGTTTGTTTGTTTTTTTGTAGCACTTCCAGAGAGAAATTGGATGGTTTCAGATTCAAGGAACACACCGAAGATGAGGGGTAGAGAGGGAGGGTGTGGACTAATTGTCAAAAGCAAGATAAACTAGGAGCATAAGAGATTAAACTTGGATTTTAAAAATTCAGGGCTGGGCCCCAGTGCAATAAAGTCCTTGCCTTCCATGAACCTGGGATCCCATGTGGTTACCGGTTCTAATCCCAGCGGCCCCACTTCTCAGCCAGTTCCCTGTTTATGGCCTGGGAAAACAGTTGAGGACAGCCCAAGTCTTGGGACCCTGCACCTCTGTGGGTGACCCAGAAGAAGCTCCTGGCTTCACATCAGCTTAGTTGTGACTGTTGTGGTCACTTGGGGAGTGAACCAGCAGACATAATATCTTTCTCTATATATTACCTTCTCTCTGTATATCTGCCTTTCCAATAAAAAAGTAAATATATCTTAAAAAAAAAAAAAAAACAAGTTTTTCTCAAGTTTCAAGCCATTACTACCATTCCTGAAAGCTTGGCTCCTGCCCTCAGTGCTGAGTCAGAAGGACTCAGACAAGGACAAAATTTGAAGACAAAGGAAAGGATAAATGAGTTCTCTGGGAAGCTTGCTGGGTGGCTGAGGTAAATAAAACAAGACATGATACAACTAAGTAGCTATGTAACATGATTCTGGGCTGGGATTTGCAAGAGGCAAAGCAGTGCCTTAAGATTGCGTTTTGTTTATCAGGAGCAAGCCCGCTCAGCCTAGAGCCTAGAACTTATCTGTTACAACACATTCAAACCTCAAGTCAGACTGACTGCACTGGCTCGGGCCAGATTACCTGGCAACTTCACCTGGCTCTTTTCAAGGCCACTCAGAATTCACAGCCAACATGTCTGAACAGACACTCAACTCGGTCACAATGTCGGCCATTTGTTCTTGTTCATGAGACTAGGAAAATAAAGGTGTCACTTTATCCTCACCACATCAGTTCCAAGAAAAAGGGTTTATGGTCTCCCAGGAAGAGATTAAGATCGGGAAAGTGCTGGTTTAAGGCTGAGCCATCAGTTAATTGCTAAGCCTGATCTGGAGGCCAAGGTGCTGTCCAGCACAGGCAATAACCTGTGGGATTCTAAGCCCCCGAAGAGCAGGCATTTGGCCACAAGATCCTTGCTTTCATCATGGTAGCGACTGTCCAGCTCCCTGCCCACCTGCACCCTGAGAGGCACAAGCACCTGGGTGCAAGACCTGGACTTCGTTCGTGGCTCCTGACTTCGGCTTGACCCAGCCCCATCTATTATAGGTCCGTTGAGTGAATCCACAGAAGGGAGAGCTCTCAAGTAAACGGGAGAAACACGGGATTCTGTTTAGTGTGTCTGACTCCCACCCCTATTACGCAGGGCTTGGCCATTCCTGCTCACTCCTCCCCGCCACGAGGGGCGACAAACGCCAACGTTCTCTCTCGGCTGGTCCCCACGGCGCAGGCGTCGCCCCGAGCTCACCACCCCTCCTCAGCAGCGAGGACCAGCGCAGGCGCCGCAGGCACAGGCCGCACGGCGATTGGTCGGCAGCCGACCACGTGACCGCGGCGGCGCCACACGCGCGTGCGCAGAGCGGCACGGCGTGCCCGTGACGGAGCGCCGGGCGTGGGGTGCGCGCCCTCGCCCGCCCCTCGGCCTGCCGCTCCGCCCCCGCGGGGCGTCCCGGGCCGCTCGTCCTGTCGGCGGCGGCCGCGCGCGGCCCGGGGTCGCCGTGAGTACTCGGGGTGGTGGTCTTGGTGGGGTGGGCTCCCCGAGGACGGGGCCGGGTGGCCGGGCGCCTCCACGGAGGGCTGGGCCCAGGGCGGGCGGCTCCGACTGGGGGGCCCTGCACGGCTCGTGAGGCTCCGCGCTTTCTCTGGATCAAGCTGTGGGTGTCTGCAGCTGTGGCTGCACCCCGGGGCCCTGCCTGTGCCTCAGCGGCTCCGTGCACGTCCTCGTGCCCCAGGACCATGCCGCCAGCTCCACGTTGGGCCGCGGACTGCCTTGCATGTGGAATTGACACCTGGAGGGGCGTCCGTAGACCGAGGGGCAGGACCTGTGTGATCCAGATGTGAGGCTTTGCAGGCGGGATGGGCAGGGGGGTGCTTGCCAAGCATCCCGAGTCACTATCAGCATGCCAGCATTCTCTGGACGCTCTGGTCCCATTTCTTTCTAAAGCATCCACCACCCGCCCCACCTTTTTATACTTTCCTCGAGATGAACCAGATCTCTCTCGCTCAATTCCTTCCCTCAAAAGTTCTGACCCCACATCACGTGAGGATGAAGTGTCTGACTCCTGCTAGATGTCCTTAGCGCCCAGCTCCTCTGGACTCCTAAGCTGCTTGCCCTCCCTAGGCCTGAGGCCTAGCTTTCTTTCATTTAGCTTGCTTTCTGGCCTTTTGAAAAAGCGCTGTGATGTGTGAGTTTCATTCCACTCCCAGGCTTTCCCCCAGGAGTGGCAAGGGCAGGGAATGTTCAACCTGGGACATGTGTAGGACTTGGGAAATGCAGACAGGACTCAAAATTCAATAAATCTTTAGTAGCGTGATTTTTTTTTAGGTTGTTCATAATGTATGACCTGTGAATGAAATTGTAAGGATGTAAAATGGGTCCTTTTTGCTAAAGCAGTCTGCCTTGGAACAATTGACAATCTGGACAGGAGTACCTGCCTCTGAACTTCCTTTTATCTTTTTGCAATGGCAGCAGAAACCAAGCAACTACAGCCCCTGGAGAGATGCTAAGTTTTTCTTGACCTGTGGCAGCGACAGAAACCTTTGACCAACCTGGTACTTCGGGTCCAGCTGCGTGCTCCTTCCGCCGGCCCTAGGACACGCAGGCTGACATTCCACGCCGTCTGGAGCAGCAACCTGTTCCCCTGTCCCAGCCCTGTTCCAACTGGGTCTGCCTGTGCCCTTCCTAGCCGCCCTTAAAGGTGAATGAGGTCTTGGTTGTCACAACCGTTTAGCCTGGTTTTCGTGTGTAAAAGCACTGAGGCACTTGAGTTTGTCTTCCTTTTTTGGCTTTGACATGCAGCAGAGTGTTCTTTGCCTGTGTTACAAGGCTGAGGACAGAGGCAGAACAAAGCATTGGAATCTCTGCCCTCCTAGCCCTATATTCCGACATGAGGTGGACCTGCATGTGGGAATTCAGGGGTTACTGTGGCCACAGTTGAGGTGGGCAGGGAGTGCAGCCCCTAGCCTGCATGAGCTGGGTATGGCTGTCAGGGAGACGATCTTGCTATTCTGAGAAGTACCGATCTAGAGTCCAGGTTCAGAAGAACTGTATTGGAGACCAGGAGCCCTTCTGTTTGGGGTTGGGCCCTTCTGTTTAAGGTTGGAGTGGATTAGTCTTGAGTTGTTATGCAGAACCAAAAACAGAATTGTGGTTGGTCATGCTGGCTTCAGGATAGCGTCACCTGGAGCGCTTCTAGCTGATTTTGGGGGGGTCCATCTCTGAAGTTGAACTCCCAGATGGCGCTGGGCACTGAGGTGTGTTCAGAGCTGTCCAGGAGTTGCAGATAGAAGCCACCCCTGTGAGCTGCTGACCTGCAGAGCAGCAGAAAGCTCTCTAAGCTGGGCTCTTTGGAGAGCTTTGCCAGTCTCTGCTATGAATGCTCTCATAATTTGATGTGGCCTGCCCCATTGCAGGTGGAAGCCATGTGGGGCCTAAAAATTGCGAAGTTTAGGTTTGGGGACCTGGCCATCAGAAGCAAGCAGGGAAACTGAAAGAGCTGGGAGTTAGTGTTTTACTGAGCATTTGTAGAGGGGGTAGGTTCCAAGATGAGTTCAGGAAGTCATGTGGGTCATGACCATTCAGTCCACATCCACCAGGGGACTCTCTGTGTTGTCGGGAACTTAGTCACAATGACCATGTAACAGGTTCTAATGATACTTGAGAAGAATTTGATTGTAGTTCTTAGCTGTAAAGAATGTTCCAGAATGAACTGGGAAGTGTCAGATCACTGTGCTTGGCTGCATGGTTGATGCTCAGTTATGAACCAGGTCTGGACCTAGCTTTAATCACATCCGTCCAATTTCAAGTGAAATGACGGTATCGTAGGTTTGTGTTGTGTTGTCATGGTTCATTAGTTAAAAACTACATGTACAAGTATAATAGATTGCATGTCATTTTACAATCCAGTGTCTACATAGCCGTGTAGTGAAAGTGTGTTTCATCACTGTGTGCCACACAGCTGTGAGGTGTATAACTGCATGCTTGTGTTTTTGCTCACCCAGTTGTGAGGTGTGTTACTGTGTAGTAAATGAGTGTGTATCACTCTGTGTGTGTGTGTGTGTGTGTGCACCTCCCAGCTGTGAGATGTGTTACTGCGTGCCTGTGTACATGCCCACCCAGCTATGAGGTGTGTAACTATGTAGTAATTGCGTGTACATTACTGTGTGTGCACCACCTAGCTGTGAGGTGTGTAACTGTAGTAAATGAGTGTGCGTCACTCTGTGTGTGTGTGTGTGCACCACCCCCTGTGAGCTGTGTTAGTGCATGCCTGTGTCTATGCCCACCCAGCTGTGAGGTGTGTAATCAACCAGGTGGTGTTTACTCTCTACAGCAACAGCACAGTGACCTGTTGACTGCCAAAACCACAGAACCTGCTATCCCTTGATCTCCAGTTGCTCCTGAGCGCATCGTTTGCCCCGCTCTGTAGCTTCCTAAATGCCCATGTTGTTGGCTTGGGTTCAGCTGGTGGCATGGAGGGGTGCTGCCGAACACTAACCTGAGAGTGTGTGTGACCCTCTGACCCAATGGTGAGCAACAGCTTTTTCCTTGGCATTTTCCTTTCTACCTTTGGAAGGGCGTGACCAATTAAAGTTGAAGCGGGGAGAGGCGTGGAAGCAGTATTACTGGGGTGGGGAGGAGAGGGGAAGGTATGCGGAGCATCATGGTTTTCTTACAAGTAAAGATGAGGAATGTTGGTGAGATAAGAGGAGTTAGGTATCCTTGAACGCCGCCGGAAGTGATCCTCCTAAGAGCAGCCAGCTTGTACTGGAGCCCAGCTATGCTTAGATCAGAGCTGCCACTGCAGTCCCCCACAGCCCTCCGCTCCCGGCTGCCAGGGCCACAGTCTCCACAGGGACACTGAAGGATTCTGCAGACAGGTCCCACCAACTTGAAGCTGCAGGTGGAATCAGATCTGGGAAGAGACAAACTCCCCAAGGTTGAAAGTATCTGTGAGGGGACCGAGGCCTCAGCTGTTCCAACAAGGCACCTGTACTCACTCTGGGAGAATATTTCCCGTTCCCTGAGACTGCTGCATTCTGTGGGATAACAGGGAGTTGACAGGTTGGTGTCCTTGATTCTCGCCACCAGGACATCAAAGGCCAGTTCTGGAATGATGACGACTCGGAGGGCGATAATGAGTCAGAAGAGTTTCTCTATGGAGTTCAGGTGAGGCAGCGGGTGCTGCTGTCTGTGTGCCCCAGGAGCCGCGGAGGTGGTGCTGGAGCCAAGCCGAGAGGACATGGAGCGTTTTGGGGTCTGAGCTGTCGCAGAATGAAGCTTGCTTTCTCTACCGGGAGGCTGCTTTCAGTTAGAATCATTGTCTTCCGAGTCCTCACCAGCCCAGTGGGGATCGTATTGTTTGTTAGGGCCATGTCTTCACATCCTGTTTTGGCAGGAAAGTTGTGTTACACATCCCCACTCTGTAGGCCCTGGGCGTGAACAGAGTGCTGCAGGAGAAGTCAGCCCTGGCTCAGCTAGCACGTGTTGTGAGCTCTCATAGGAGGCGTCCCTGAGCATTCCAGCCTGAGCTGAGCCCACACACCACTGTCTACTCGCTTAGCGTGGGCAGGAGGCTTGTCTGTCAGTGGACTCCTTACCAGAGCTCCCACCCTTCGCAAAAACCCCTGGCGCAAGTGGCTTTCACTTCCCCGCAGTGTCCTTTCAGTTTCTCCTGTCCTGTTTGTCTCTTCATGTTCTTTGAATTTTCGTCCGCCTCTGTCCTTTCGGCTTGCTTTCCCAGGGGAGCTGTGCAGCTGACCTGTACCGACACCCGCAGCTCGATGCAGACATTGAAGCCGTGAAGGAGCTCTACAGCGAGAACGCTGTGGCCATCAGGTGATGCTCCCCTTCTCTCTGAGGTGTCCCCATGGAACCGTGGGAGGATGAGTTAGGAACGTGATGATGAAGTACTTCCCTCGTGGCTGGCAGGAGCGAGGAGGGAGTGCAGGCTACTTTTCTGAGAGGTGATTTCATACTGAGGGCGGGAGAGCTTCTGGCTGGCGGAAAGCCCTGCTCTTGGGCAAGTTGAGGCTGTAGCTGAGAGCCTGAAGGCAGTACTGCCTTCCGCCCTTCCCGGCCCCCTGTGCTCCACCCCGGGCTCTGCTCTTTCTGCCTCCGTGAGTCTCACCATGGTCCTCTCTGTCTGCGTAGAGAATATGGAACTATCGATGACGTGGACATTGACCTCCACATCAACATCAGCTTCCTTGACGTAAGTGGTGCTGCACGTCCAGCTGCACGGGTGGATCCGTCGTGCAGGCCAGGAATCTTAGACCTGGGTGTTGCTTGTGCAGCACACGCTCTTTGTCTCTCTGACCACGTGCAGACGGTGCACGCGTGTGTCATTCGGGGGAGTTTCCAGTCAATTCCTCTTGTGAACTGGGATCTACTTCTCTTACTCTTTTAGGAGGAAGTCTCAACCGCCTGGAAGGTCCTCCGGACAGAACCCATCGTATTGAGGCTGCGGTTTTCTCTTTCCCAGTACCTCGATGGGCCAGGTAAAGACAGAGGGTGATCCAAGTGGGATCTAATCCAAAATGCCAAGTCTACTGAAGTTGAAAATAACTAGGAACAGTGTCTGTGAATTCACTCCGCAGGCTGCTGGGAGGGGCTTCTTTCTCCCTCTTCTGTCTGTGGGGACTTAACCTGCTGTCACCCCATAGCCATCCCCTAAAGGCCTTCCTCCTTAGTGAAATTGCTTCCTCCCTCTGCCCTCAGCTTCCTGCTGCCTCAGCAGTTCCTCTCCTCCGCTTACCCCTGTGTAGAGTACCCAGGACCCACCGGCTGTCCCACTGAACTGTGGCATTGGGATTTGTGGGATGAAGGTTGTACATACTGGGAGTTTTTTCTTTTCTTTGCAGAGCCTTCGATTGAGGTTTTCCAGCCGTCGAATAAGGAAGGGTTTGGGCTGGGTCTTCAGTTGAAAAAGTAAGAACTCTGTTTCTAGCATGGATAGATGAAAGACGGATGTGTGTGGATGGACAGGCAGGACTGTGGGTAGGAGGCTTCCTTCCCCAGATGTGTGCCTGAGCCAGGCCCAGGAAAAGCTAAAATAAACCTGAGGACCGCAGTTTACAGCCCTGAAGGGGAGGCTGTGGGCCTGGGTTTCAGCCCTTGAGCTTTCCTGGTGAGGAGGGCAGACTGGAGGGGGCAGGTGCTTCCTCAGAGGGGGGCTGCCAGAGCCCAGGCAGCTTCAGTTCATTTAACATGTTCAGCGTTATGCTCAGTATTTGGTGTGAAAGTAAAACAAAAGCACATTTTTTCTCTTTAAGATTTTTTAGTTTTTATTTGAAAGGCAGATCTACACAGAGAACATCAAAGATCTTCCATGTGTCGGTTCACTCCCCAAACAGCTGCAACAGCTAGAGCTGAGCCAAATTGATGCCAGGAGCCAAGAGGCTCCTCCAGGTCACCCACATGGGTGCAGCGTTCCAAATACTTGAACTGCCCTCCACTGCTTTCCCAGGCCACAAGCAAGGAGCTGGATCCAAAATGGAGCACCCAGGACACAACCTGGCATCCATTTGGAGTCACAGCACCTTCCCCTCAGGGAATCTAAGTGAAGTCTAGGGTGTGTATGTTGTAATGGAGTCCAGTGTATGAGGTTTAGAAAGAACACAATGGAAGAAGTGTTTTATTGGGTGGGGCAGGTAGAGGCCTGCGAATGAAAGAACGAGAGAGAGAGTGTTTACCAGTTCCCAAGACTGGCAGAGAGTTGTTTGTGCACAGACTGAGCGTGAACGGCTCTTGCACCAACACTGGCTCAGGTGTGGGAGGAGCTTCAGGTAGCCAAACCCTGTTGGTGCTGTGCATGTGAGAGTGGCCAGAACCAAAGCCAGAGAAATGAAGAAGGCTTGGTCGTAGAGGAACATGGCCTTGGCACTACTTAAGGATTTTTCTTTTAAACAATTTTATTTTCTATTTTTATTTGAAAGGCAGAGTTACAGAGAGAAGGTGAGACAGAGAGAAGGAAAGACAGAGAGAGATCCCACATCCTCTGGTTCATTCTTCAGATGACCACAATGGTCAGAGCCAAGTTAATCCAAATCCAGGAACCTGGAGCTTCTTACAGATCTCCCACATGTGTGCAGAGGTTCAAGGATTTGAGCCATCCTCTGCTCCTATCCAAGATCATAATCAAGGAGCTGGCTTGGAAGTGGAGCAGCCAGGACTCAAACTGGTAGCCATGTGGGATGCTGGCTGTGTAGGCAGAAGTTTAGCCCACTGGGTCACAGTGCTGGTCTCCTACTTAGGGATTTTAAGCAGAGAAGACCTGGTCAGATTTCCTTTTGTGTTATATGTATACATATATATACACACACATATATATATATACATACATATACATCTACTTGAAAGGCAGAAAGATTCGTGGGTGGCCTTTCTCTGCTGTCCCCCAGGCTGTGTTAACAGGAAGCCTGATTGGAAGCAGAAGTGCCAAGACTTGAACCAGATGCTTCGTGTGGGATGAGGACATCCCAAGCACGAGCAGCAGCCTCGCCTGCTGCACCACAATGGCGGCCCCAGACTTAGGGTTAGAAAGAAACATTACATCGCGTGCTACAGAATGGGTCGGGGAGACAAGTGACAAGACCAGAACCTCAGATCTAGGAGTGAGATGATGAGAGAGCAGGAGGCAATGGAGGTGGGTTAGGTGTGTGCAGAAGCTGTGGAGTGGGCAGTCTGGTTTGTAGAGGCTGAGGAGTACTCCCAGGTGTCCAGGTCAGGTGTCTGGGTGGATGAAGAGGCCACCGATTCCAGTAGGCTGCCAAGCAGATGAGGGCCTGTGTAGAATGAGGACAACTAGCTTTGTTTTATTTTTATTTTTATTTATTTAAATTTTTTTTTAAAGATTTATTTTTATTATTTTTTCATTGGAAAGGTGGATATACAGAGAGGAGAGACAGAGAGGAAGATCTTCCGTCCGATGATTCACTCCCCAAGTGAGCGCAACGGGCCGATACTATGCCGATCCGAAGCCAGGAGCCTCTTCCGGGTCTCCCACGCGGGTGCAGGTTCCCAAAGCTTTGGGCCGTCCTCGACTGCTTTCCCAGGCCCCAGGCTGGGAGCTGGAAGGGAAGCGGGGCTGCCGGGATTAGAACCTGCGCCCATATGGGATCCCGGGCGTGCAATGAGAGGACCTTTAACCACTTGCGCCACCGCACCGGGCCCTAAATTTTTTTAAAAAAATTTTATTGCGGGGCCCAGCAGCGTGGCCTAGCAGCTAAAGTCCTCGCCCTGAACGCGCCAGGATCCCATATGGGCACCAATTCTAATCCCGGCAGCTCCACTTCCCATCCAGCTCCCTGCTTGTGGCCTGGGAAAGCAGTCGAGGACGGCCCAAAGCCTTGGGACCCTGCACCCGTGTGGGAGACCTGGAGGAAGTTCCTGGATCCTGGCTTGGGATCTGCATAGCATCGGCCATTGCGCTCACTTGGGGAGTGAATCATCGGATGGAAGATCTTCCTCTCTGTCTCTCCTCCTTTATGTATACCTGACTTTCCAATAAAATAAATAAATCTTTAAAATAAATAAATAAATAAATTTTTATCGTAAATTCAGATATACAAAGTGGACAAGAGACAGGGAAGAAGATCTTCTGTTCATTGATTCGCTCCCTATGTAGCCACAATGGCCAGAGCTGAGCTGGTCTGAAGCCAGGAGCCTGGAGCCTCTTCCAGGTCTTCCACATGGGTGCAGAGTCCTAAGGCTTCGGGCCATCCTTGACCGCTTTCCCAGGCCACAAATAGGAAGGTGGATGGGAAGCAGGGCTGTCGGGATTGGAACTAGTGCCCATCTGGGATCTCGGGATGTGCAAGGCGAGGATCTCAGCCGCTAGGTTACTGTGCCAGGCCCTAGCTCTAAAAATGTGTTGTTTGAAGGAGCAGGATATGGACCCGGCACAATAGCTGAGTGGCTAAACCTTGCATGCACCAGGATCCCACATGGACGCGACTTTGTGTCCCAGCTGTTCCACTTGGAGGAGTAGTGGGAGTGAACCCCAGAGCACAGGGAGTCGCAGACGGTGTGCACAGTAAAAGCCATAGGCACGTCCTGAGGGGTGTGGGCGAGGATGGGGGCAAGGAGAGGAAGGTGGCCACGCCAAGGTGCAGTGATGTTTTGTAGATTTGGGGTAAGAATTGACAGAAAAGGAAGTGATAATTGATAGCTCAAACTCCATAAAGAGACAAGAAAGGGTTGAGATTTAAACCACAAAGAAATCACTCTTGTATTGAAGAGCCCGGAGCTGGGCGTGATGGCTCAGTGGCTGAATCCTCGCTTTGCAATGTCAGGATCCCATATGGGCATTGGTTCATCTCCTGGCTGCTCCACTTCCCATACTACTTTCTGCTTATGACCTGGGAAAAACAGCAAAGGATGGCTGAAGGCTTTGGAAACCTGCACTTGCGTTGGAGACCTGGAGAGAGCACCTGGCTTTTGGTTTTGGATGAACTCGGCTCCAGCTGTTATGGCCATTTGGAGAGTGAACCTGTGGGTGGAAGGTCTTTCTCTGTTTCTCACTTTTTCTGTAAATCTTATCTACCTTCCCAAAAGAAATAAATATAAATCTTAAAAAAAAAAAAGAAAAGGAAAAAAATAAATCAAAGAATCCACCCTTGCGCTGATGTTGTGGTGTAGTGGCTTAAGCTGCTACCTACAGTGCTGGCATCCCATATGCGCTCCAGTTTGAGTCCTGGCTTCTCCATTTTCCATCCAGCTCTCTGCTAATGTGCCTGGGGTAACAGCAAAGGATGGCCTCTGCACCCACATAGGAAGTCTGGATGAACAGCCTGGCTTTGGCCTGTAGAAGCCCAAGCTGTTTTGGCCATTTGGCAAGTGAACCAGAGGATGCAAGATATCTCTCTCTCTCTCTCTCTCTGACTGCCTTTCAAATAAATAGAATAAAATTTTCCAAAAAGAAAAAAGTGCACCCCCCCCCCTTTGTCTCTAGAGGAAGGGAGAGGTGAAGAGAAGGTGGGGAGTGGAATAGACTTTGTGGGGAGCTGCTCCCTGCTGGCTTCCTCTGTCAGGAAGAGAGGGCTTAAAGGGCCTGAGCACCGAGCGACAGCTTTGAACCCTGCTGCACAGGCCTGCTCGGGACAAGGGGAGCACTGACAGGGCTGGCGGAGGGCCGTGCTCCCATTGCAAAAACTGCATTTGGGAATGAGCTTGTCCAGCAGCACCAGTACCTTCCATGCCTGAGTCCTTGCCTCCACTGCAGCCCCATGCTGCAGGAAATCTTCAGCTAGCACTCCCATCAACGCACTAGCTTCGCCGTTCCAGGGTCTCACACTCCATGTTTTCTCTCCATCTTTTCTCCTCCTCCTACTCCTGTTAATCATGCCTAAGCCTTTTCTCAATCCATCAGGATCCTGGGCATGTTCACATCCCAACAATGGAAGCATCTAAGCAACGATTTCTTGAAGACCCAGCAGGAGAAGAGGCACAGTTGGTTCAAGGCGAGCGGCACCATCAAGAAGTTCCGAGCTGGCCTCAGCATCTTCTCACCCATCCCCAAGTAAGCAATGCCTCATCTTCCCTGTCCTCACACCCACCAAGTTCTCTTTCCTAACAGCACTCATACTCTCCTGTCCCCCGTGGACCCCTACCCTCTGTTCCTGACCCGGGACCATACCTCTGCTGTATAGCGCTGCCTGTGAGGTGTAGAGAAATGTGTGCTGGTCTTTCCAGCCTTCAGCACTCATGCCATCCTGTCCTCTGGGCCCCTACCATCCACTCCTGATCCAGGGCCACACCTCCTGCACATGGCCCAGCAGGTGGAATTTGGAGAAATGTGTGCTGGTCTTTCCAGCCTTCAGCACTCAGGCCATCCTGTCCCCTATGGGCCCCTACCATCCACTCCTGATCCAGGGCCAGCAGGTGGAATTTGGAGAAATGTGTGCTGGTCTTTCCAGCCTTCCTTTCCTGGCTCTTGTCCTTCCCCCCATCTGCAGGGAGCAGAGCTGAGAACAGGCTCTAGCTCCATAACTTATATGCAAGGAGACTTTGGCTTTTTTTTGTAGATTCCAGAAGTAATTATGACTCTAGTGTTTGACATCAACTCTGTTTCACTTCTATCTCCAAAGTCTTCTGCTCTTACAGAAGAGACAGAAGCTGCAGTCTGTGGGTCCCCACACATGTGGGTGACAAGCAGTACCTGATCTCTGTGACACACCGGCACTTTTCTCCAAGCCGTCAGCCCATCACTGTAAATGTGGTGGCATAGGCCCTGCCTGCCCTCTGTAGCCCCACGTGAAGAACGCACGATTGTTTTACATGTGTGAGCTGCCTATTTAGATGGTGTTTAAGACCTGAAGGAATGTGTTTGCCTTTCATTTAGAACTTTGGCCTTGGACTCACTCATCTCCAGGTGCCTTCTAACTTCTTGGCCCTGCTTGCTGTCTCACCTCAGGTCTCCCAGCTTCCCTATCATTCAAGACTCCATGCTGAAAGGCAAGCTGGGTGTGCCAGAGCTTCGGGTTGGGCGCCTCATGAACCGTTCCATCTCCTGCACCATGAAGAACCCCAAAGTAGAGGTGTTTGGCTACCCTCCCAGCCCCCAGGCAGGTCTCCTGTGCCCCCAGCACGTGGGCCTCCCTCCCCCAGCACGGACCTCTCCCTTGGTACATGGGCTGGGCAGGGTTTGACTTGGGCATCCAGGGAGGGAGTGAAAGTGTGACAGTTTAGCTTCCCAAAAGGGGGAGGGTTTAGACAACTGCAGAAGTCAAACCTGGGTATGTACCACGCGTGGGTAGAATGAAACACAGTTTCTGGTAGCTGCATCCAGTCTTTCTGGCCTGTGTCTCTGTAGCTGGACGTGAGACAGAGCCCGCAAGAGGGTCTCCCACGGAGGAGGCATGTGTGATTGTGTTAGGTTGGGTTAGGGGGCATAGGGTTGGGTGGTCAGCTGCTGTAACAACTCAGGCTCTCTACTTTGAAGAGGGTTGAGGAAAGAATGTCTGGCACAAGAGTGGAGGGATCACCTCTCCCTTTCCTGTCACTGAGCCTGATATGAGCAGGGCTGAGCTATTTCAGGGGAAGCCTGGGGACTTGGCATGAGTGAGGTCTGAGGGTCTCTGTCCCAGCGCTGAAGGAGCCTCACGTGGTTCCCCTTGCATTCTCCCCAGGTCAGTGGTCACTGCAAGAACATCCCCACCCTGGAGTATGGATTCCTTGTGCAGGTAATCAGCTTCTCCCTCAATCCCACCAGATCCCCAAACATTTATTTCCAAGCTTTTCAAGTTGTTGTTTTTTTTTTGTTGCCTTTTTTTGTTTGTTTGTTTTTCTTCTTAAAGATATACTGATTTATTTGTAAGCTATAGTGACAGAGAGACCAATGGATCTCCCATCTGCTGATTCAGTCGCCAAATACTTGGCTTTGGTTAGGACTGGGCCAGGCCAAAGGCACACACCAGAAACTCCATCTTAAACCTCACAGGAGGATGACAGGAACCTGCAGTAGCAGGAAGCTGCATCAGAAGTGGAATGAGGGGGACCAGCACTGTGGCTTTGCAGGTTATTTCCACTAACGGCGTGACAGCCCATACGGGCATCGCGTCTAGCCCCAGCTGCTCCACTTCTGTTTCTCTCCCTGCTAATGTGTCTGGAGCAGCAGCAGCAGATGGACCAAGTGTTTGGGCCCCTGTACACACACGCAAGATGTGGAGGACAGTCCTGGCTCCTGGTTTCAGACTGGTGCAGCTATGGAAGTTGTGGCATTTAGTTGTATATGTATTTTCAGAGTCTTTGTTCTAAAAGAAATTCTTTTTTGAAATTCTTAATTTCATTTTCCGTGAACGCTTTGAGGTACCCTGGTGTGTGAGATTAAGTAGCAGAAGTAGGATGTCAATGCAGGTCCTCTAAGCATGGGCGTGGCCGGCCTTATTTTACTACCCTACACCAGCTCTGCAATCAGATGCTCGGTTTAAACATGCAAGTCCAAGAATAGATCCTGGCTTAGGCACAGCGCATAAGAGAGGCAATATATATATATATATTTTCATCTTTTAAGATTATTTATTTATTTGCAAGGCAGAGTTATTGAGAGAGCTAGAGGGAGAGATCTTCCATCTGCTGATTAACTCTCTAAATAGCTGCAGTGGCGAGAGCTTGGCTGGTGTGAAGCTAGGGACCTGGAACTCCCACGTGGATATAAGGACCCGAGCCCTAGGGCCAATGTCTGCTGCTTTCCCATTCACCTATACAGTGTCTGCTGGATAGGAAGTGGAGCAGCCGGGTCTCTAACCGATGTCTGTATGGAATACTGGCCTGGCTGGCAAAGGATTAATGCGCTAAACCACAGTGCTGGCGCCTAGAGGAGATTTAAGTTACTTCCTGTGTATGCCTGTGAACTTCCCAAAGATGCAGCCTGCGTTCTCTCTGCAGATCATGAAGTACGCAGAGCAGAGGATCCCGACGCTGAATGAGTATTGCGTGGTTTGTGACGAGCAGCACGTCTTCCAGAATGGCTCCATGCTCAAGGTACAGGCCCTGCTCTGTTACCTCCTTCCTGAGTCTGTGGTGGTGGAGTCCATCCACACCTCCTGAGAGTCAGCCAGTGGAGCCTGCATACCCCAGCAAGTCTGTGTGGAGAGGCAAAGATTTCAGAGTATGTTTTGAGGATTTAGTTCTAAGCCAGCATTTAAAAGCTGGGATCAAATCTCCACCAAGATGACTGGCTAAGGCACAAGGTTCCAGGTTGAGGCAGGTAGACAAAGAAACAAGTATTGTGAAAACTCAGAGGAAGGGTTTTGCCAGGAAGGGCCAGGGAGACTTCCCAGAGGAAGAGGCGGCAACGTGAATGTGGAAACATAGCAGTGGGGCATTTGGATTGAGAGTTACCTTGCTAACACTTTTCTCCAGACGGAGGGGACCCCAGTAGGCCCTCTCTCCCCGCACCTTCCCACTGCACATCCTGCACACCCACCATCTGTCTGTCTGATGTGTCCGTGTTCTAGCCAGCCGTCTGCACTCGGGAGCTGTGTGTCTTCTCCTTCTATACACTGGGCGTCATGTCTGGAGCTGCCGAGGAGGTGGCTACTGGAGCAGAGGTATGGAAGAGGCCCAACAGCTTGGCCGTTTACAATTTGGCTTCCACAGTGATGTCCACGTATGAGCTTGCATGCAACAGTCTTGTTTCTGAAAGAAATATAGATACGATTCCCTCTGTCAGGGTCCAGTTAACGAAATTGTGACATGTCCTTAACATTGAATGGCTACAGTCGTTATTATTTACAGATAGGAGATTGTAACATATAGTCATAAACAGCAGCAAACACAGTGGTGTGTGGATTAAGATTGCCTATAATTTCAATTTTCTAATTCGAAGGACACTAACATAACACTTTTTGAAAGAGCAGCAGGGAGAAATGGTAGACGCTGCCCCAGTGTCAGATCCAGGAGAGATCATTTGGTTCTCTGCTCCCATAGGTGGTGGACCTGCTGGTGGCCATGTGCAGGGCAGCACTGGAGTCCCCCAGGAAGAGCATCATCTTTGAGCCTTACCCCTCTGTGGTGGACCCCACTGATCCCAAGACTCTGGCCTTTAACCCTAAGGTACAGTTGCTGGGTCCAGGAATAGAAGGGATGAGAGAGAGTATAAATGGCAGGCTGTGATGCCCTGTGCACGACCTGGAAAGTGCCCAACAGAGGTCTAGCTGCTTGGAGCTGTCCTCACCTTTACAGCTTCCTTCTCATCTGTGGACGTGGACTGTGTCTGTTTTCTAGAGAGAGAGAGGGGTTTGTTATCAGGCAGTCAATGCAGGCAGCAGGGTGAGGCAGGAGCAATGTCTTGCTGGAGGGAGGGGTCAGCCTCTGTGTTCAGTGCAGTCTTCAGCTGGTGAAGCGCTTGCCCTCCCTCTGCACTGAGGAGCAGCCTGCCTGTGCACTCTCACCGGAGCACCCAGAAATAGCATGTGACCGCACAGCTGGGCACCCTCCACTTGGTGCCTACCTTTGCAGCCTGTGTGTGCCAGGCACTATGCTCTCTTTCCAGGTGCTCTTTAGCCCTCCTAGCCCTCTAAGAGGAAGAGGAGAATTTCCGTTTTCATTTCCAAACAGGACTGCTTATTTTCCAGAAGGCTAAGTCCCTCTGGCATGAGAGCTGTGCTGTGTGGCCTGCTGCCCTGTCTCATGCTTCATCACCCCAGCTTCTCCCCACCTGATCTTCTCTCCCCGTTGCTTCCCTGCAGAAGAAGAACTATGAGCGACTGCAGAAGGCCCTGGACAGCGTGATGTCCATCCGGGAGATGACCCAGGTATGCTGCCTTGCTGTCCCCAGGCCTCGTCTGCCCAGCTGCTTGTAATTCATATGAAAAGGGTGAAGGCTTAGAGAAGCCGCTCAGGTTCCTTGATTTTCTTTTTTCCCTCTTGAACCTTCCCAAATCTTGTTAGCTGATGCCCCTCTTTTCCCTTTATTTTTTTCTTTATTTTTATTTACTTGAAAGGCAGAGAGAGATCCCATCAGTGTCCCATCCCCAAATGCTTGCCAGAGCTGGCAACTGCAGCAGGCCAAAGCCAGGAGTTCAGAACTCCATCAAGATCTCCCATATGTGTGACAGACACCCAGGCACTTCAGCCATTATCAGGAAGCTGGATTAGAGCAGCATATCCCGAACTCAAACTGATATCCCAGGGCCCAGGGCAGGCTGTGCTGCTAATTCCCTCAAAATTTAGAGAGTTGGAGAAGTGAGGGAAAGACCTCTTTCCCAAGGTTGAGGGAATAAGGAGAGGCTTGGAGGATAAGGAACTGGACCAAGGACCTGTGTTCTCTGTCCTTGGTGGGTGGGACAGCCAGAAGTTGCAGGACCCTCCCTTTAACCCAAGGCTGTCCCTGCCCAGGCTTTTCCAGCCCTCTCCAGTCCCGTCCACAGGCTCTATATGAGCCGACATTCATTTGTACGAATGGGTGTCTTTTCTCACACTGCTGCATCCCAGTGCAGATTAGTATGTAGGATGCCTTGCTTCATACAAAGGACCACCACAGGTTACTCAGCTGATCTTGCAGGGACTCCGGTTTTACTTACTGGTGGTGTACTGGATACAGGAGCCACACCTGCTGGTTGTTTTGTCTGCATCTTCATTTGTCTTTCTAACCCTCTTGGGTGGGAGCCTTATCTCCTGTTTCCCCTGTGTGGCCTCTGATGCTCACCTTGCCCTGGCCCTTAGGCTCAGTCTGCAGGAAACTGCAGCTTGCCTAGGACATCATCTGGGGACTGTTGTCTTGCAGGGCTCATATTTGGAGATCAAGAAGCAGATGGACAAGCTGGACCCACTGGCTCATCCTCTCCTGCAGTGGTATGGGTGGGCTGACTCGTCTTCCCAGGGCCAGGATGGGCAGGAGGGAGGGTGGACATGAGCTTCACTGTCCCATACAGGTGGTTTTGTAAGGAGTCCTCCTGGAAGTTGTTGGCAGGGTGATTACGTTAGTGCTCCCCGGATGCCTCCTGCTTGGATAGGGCCTCCAGACCTACTGAACACACAAACTGACATGATAGCTCATGTTCTTTTTAGGTGTGCTGTTTCCCAGTATGCTTTTTATCTCATTTTTTTTTTTTTTGATTTGGCTGAAAAAAAAAAAAGTGTGTGTGTTTATGGCATACAGTGCATTCTGACATGTGTGCCTTGTAGAGCAGTGCAATGACATTATCTAACATATTACCTTGATGCAAACATACTCTGCCTTCAGCAGTCTTGGGAATGCGCTACGTGGTTATTGACCAGAGTCATCGCCAATAGTTTCTGAGTGTCCCTGGCATGTGAGAGTTTAACATTATTCATTTTTTAAAGCAAGTTGTATTTATTGGAAAGGCAGTTTGGGTAGGAGGTAAAGAGAGAGTTTTCTTCCATCCTGGTTCACTCTAGTGGCCGCAACAACTGGGGCTGTGCTAGGCGAAAGTCAGAAACCTGGAACTCCAGGTACCTCGCATGGGTGGTGGAGCCTCAGCACCCGGGTCAGAGCGGTGTGCTGGTGCCCGCGTGGCGTGCTGGTGCCCACGTGGCATGCTGGCTCCTCCGCGACACCTGTTTGCTTCAGTCCGGTTTTCTGTGTGTCCAGAGAGGTCTGCCTGCTCCTTCCCCCTTCCCTATCTCAGAACCCTCCCTGCTGCCCTTCTCTGATCTTCTGTCTGCTTGGGCCACCTTGTACTGTTTTCCCAGGCACGTTGGTAGGGAACTGGATAGGATGTGGAGCAGCGGTTTCACATGGGATGCTGACCCTGCCTGCCATGTCTAAACCCATTACACCAGAATGCCACTCCCCTACCCCGCCCAGTCAGCCTTTGACACTAAGACTCCCTCAGGCCTACAGCTTCCTCCTCCTTTTCCCAAGGAATGACCAGAACAGATCGGCCAGGTTGTTGTCACAGTACATAGGGAGACACAGGAACAAAGTGTCTGCCTTTCGAGATAATTACACCTTTATTCTTTTCTTTCTTTTTAAGCTTTCTTTTTTTAAAGATGTATTTATTTTGTATTGCAAAGTCAAATATGCAGAGAGGAGGAGAGATGCAGAGAAAAATCCTCCATCCGGGCCCGGCGCGGTGGCGCAAGTGGTTAAGGTCCTCGCCTTGCACACCCGGGATCCCATATGGGCACCGGTTCTATCCCGGCAGCCCCGCTTCCCTTCCAGCTCCCTGCCTGGGGCCTGGGAAAGCAGTCGAGGACGGCCCAAAGTTTTGGGACCCTGCACCCGCGTGGAAGACCCGGAAGAGGCTCCTGGCTTCGGATCGGCATAGTATCGGCCCGTTGCGCTCACTTGGGGAGTGAATCATCGGACGGAAGATCTTCCTCTCTGTCTCTCCTCTCTGTATATCCGCCTTTCCAATAAAAAAAAATAATAATAAATCTTAAAAAAAAAAATCCTCCATCCAATGATTCACTCCCCAAGTGCCGCAATGGCCAGAGCTGAGCTGATCCAAACACAGAAGCCGAGGACCTCTTCTAGGTCTCCCACTCAGGGTGCAGGGTCCCAAGGCCTTGGGCAATCCTTGACCGCTTTCCCAGGCCACAAACAAGGAGCTGGATGGGAAGCGAGGCTTCCGGGGCACAAACCGTCACCCACATGGGATCCCAGGATGTGCAAAGCGAGGACTTTAGCCACTAGGTTATTGCGCCGGGCCCTTCTTTCTTTCTTTTTAAAAACTTGTTTGAAAGGCAGAGAGACATGTAGATCTTCCATCCACTGGATTCCCCAGACGCTAGCGACAGCTGAGGCTGGGGCTGTGCCAGGCTGAAGCTGAGAGCCCAGTACTCAGTCCAGATCTTCCTTCTCCATGGATGGTAGAGACACACGTACTTGAACTATGCCAGGGTATATGTTAGCAGGAAGCTGGTTTGGAAGTGGAGCCAGGACTCCAGCCCAAGCCTTCTGTTGTGGGAGTCTTAACTGCTCCAGCAAATACCCAGCTCGCCCCACTTTTTTTCCCACAATGACTAGCTGGTCTCTGAAAGAATCTGACAGCTCATCATTCCTTGCTTGCTCAGGGTAACCACATGTTTCCTCTTCTTTTGCTTCCTGTTTTCCCGCAGGATTATCTCCAGCAACAGATCACACATTGTCAAACTACCTCTCAGCAGGGTAAGTGCCCCCCTTCTCCCTTTATACCTGTTCGTTTCTGGTGAGGGGCAGGGAGGGCTCCCAGCCAACTGACTATGAACCCATGGACCTAGACCTGTCTGATTGGCTCTGTCCATCAGCATCACCCTTGGGACTAAAGACTTCCCTGGTGTAGGGTCACTGCAAACCAGATTTGTTTCCTGCCCCCACCCTTCTCTCCCTGATCTCCATTTCTGCTCTGCTTTCCTGACCCCCCCCACCCTGGGCAGCAGCTGAAGTTCATGCACACCTCACACCAGTTCCTCCTGCTGAGCAGCCCTCCCGCCAAGGAGGCTCGGTTCCGGACCGCCAAGAAGCTCTACGGCAGCACCTTTGCCTTCCAGTGAGGAGGATGGGGGAAGTTGGGAGGCAGAGGGGTTTGTGTTACAGGTGTAACAAAGTGTATTACAGGTGTTAATAGCTTGGTGCAGCCCCAGAAGATAGAAAAGTGCGTGTGCCTTGCTCTGTCATTATTCTCAGGCCCTAAGGAGGGTGTAGTAAGAGATATTTGTACGTTTAAACTGTAGTTCAAGGAACAAATGAGAGAAGGCAGATTTGAAAGGGAATCCACAATGGTGCCTAATTGTGGGAACGAGGAGACAGAAAATAAGGGCTACTGAAGGTAACAGAATGGCAGAGCCCTTGTACCAGAGGAGAAACAGGCCTGGAAGTCATATTTGGGATCCATGATAAGTGCTGAGATGAGCTGGTTGGTTCTGGCATGTCCGGAATTGACTGAGACCCAATATAGCTGAAGCACAGAAGAGAGGATGGGAGTGGAAACGAAGGTGCGGGATTGAAACGCACACGCTTCATGCATGACCAGATGCGGGTACGTGTGCGTCAGCACGTGTGTCTGTGCCCATCTTCACGTCCTGCATGAGGGGGCACATGTTCTCTGCTCCTTTCAGTGGGTCCCACATCGAGAACTGGCATTCGATTCTGCGCAATGGGCTGGTCAACGCATCCTACACCAAACTGCAGGTGAGGGTGTGCCCCTTCCCTGCCCACCTAGTCTCGGGGAAGGCTACTCTCAAGTACTCAGCTTCTCTTGCCTCAATGTCTTCAAGCCTGGCCCATGTTGGGGGTGTCCCTAGAGAGGAAGTTGAAACTGAGTACAGAATGGGTGTGGCTGTTATGTTTGACCTTAGGCTGCATTTGTGTTTGATTTTGGGAATGGGAGTGTACAGTTGGCAGGAACATGAAATCGCCAATTGCAGCTGCTTTGAACTAACCTGTTAGAATCCATTGGTCTGTGTGGCTGCCAGAGAGTTACTGGGGGAGACATGCTCCCTTGCCCTGAGAGAGCCCAGAGAATAATTGTCATCCTTCTTGGAGCATGCGTGTTTATCCAGGCCCAGGTGGAGGGTCTGATCCGTGTGTCTACCACTCCCTGCTCTCCAGTGTACGAGTGCTTAGCTTCTCACAGGCAGTGGAGAGCTTAACTGTGCTTGTCTAGCCAGTCAGCTCTCCAGCACAGGTGCCCAGAGTTAACTGAATGAGCGTGGTAGGTGGAGGGGCAGAGGGCTGGCAGAGCCTGTAGATGCCCAGCAAAGCCACAGGAGGACCCAGGCTCACATGCTCCTCCCGCTGTTTCCCTGCAAGCTGCATGGAGCAGCCTATGGCAAAGGCATCTACCTGAGCCCCATCTCCAGTATTTCCTTTGGATACTCAGGTAAGAAACACTGTCTGGCCGTCCTGACTATGGCATTGCATCCATTTGTGAACACGTGATGTGTGCTGTCCACCCCACCTCACCTTGCCGTCACAGAGCTGCAGCGTATGTCAGCTGTCTCCCCAGTCATAGATACATGGTCTGTGTGTCGACTTTCTCTCACTAGAAATTCAGATTCTTTTCACAATAAGGTCAGTCATTGCTTTTAAAAAAAAAAAAGTTGTGTTCATTGTAGACTAAGTCCTGAGGATGGATTAAGAAGCAGCTGAGAAATGAAGCAGAACTTGATGTATGCAACACTTTAGAGGTTGGAAGTTAGAGAGATTGTGGAAAGCACTCATGTGAGGTGCTTTTTAAGATTTATGTGTTCGTAAAGGCAGAGCTACAGAGAGAAAGAAAGGGGTCTTCTAACCTCTGGTTCACTCCCCAAATGGCGTGACAGCTGAGGCTGCTGACCTAAGCCAAAGCCAGGAGCCAGCACCTTCTTCCAAGTCTCCTTCATGGCTCTGGGAACCCAAGCCGTTGGGCCTTCTGCTGCTGCTTTCTCGAGCAGATTAGCATGGAGCTGGATCAGAAGTAGAGTAGCTGGGACTCGAACTGGTGCCCACATGGTATGCCAGCACAATAGGCAGAAGATTAGTATGTTAAACCACTGCACAGATCCTTCATCAACCACTTTTTTTTTTTAAGATGTTTGAGGGTTTTTTTTTTTAAAGATTTATTTTATTTTATTGGAAAAGCGGATATACAGAGAGGAGAGACAGAGAGGAAGATCTTCCGTCCCATGATTCACTCCCCAGGTGGCCACAACAGCTGGAGCTGAGCCAATCTGAAGACAGGAGCCTGTTCTGGGTCTCCACGCGGGTGCAGGGTCCCAAAGCTTTGAGCCGCCCTTGACTGCTTTCCCGGGCCACAGGCAGGGAGCTGGATGGGAAGCGGAGCTGCTGGGATTAGAACCGGTGTCTATATGGGATCGTGGGCGTGCAAGGCGAGGACCTTATCCATTGCGTCATCGCGCCGGGTCCCATCAACCACTTTTTAGAGTTTGAATCATATGTGACAGTATGGAACTGTTTTAGAAACCACACGGAGTGCTAGAGGAGTGTTTTGTTCCATAGATAAAGCATAATGAAGTCAAGATTCTTTGTCAGGAAACAGGTCTGGCTTTGTCTCATCAGAAAGGCATGACAACTTGAGCACTTTGAGTGTCCTACAGTTGTATGCTTGCTGCTGCACCTGCTGCCTATTGCCTGTGTGCAGGGGTCAGCTCCAGGCCCATACATAGTAAAGGCAGATTGTTGGTGTCCTGAAGTAACTACAACCTTTAGAAACAGGAGACGAGTTAGAACCAGCGTCCCAGGACTTTAGCAGTTTATAACAACAGTGAACCAGAGTAGGACAAAGAAAATCACTGAGTTAGAACTACAGTCAGGGCCCGGTGTGATGGCTTAATGACCAAATCTTTGCCTACCATACGCTGGATCCCATTTGGACACCAGTTCATATCTAGGCTGCTTCACTTCCCATCCAGCTCCCTGCTTGTGGCCTGGGAAATCAGTAGAGGACGGCCCAAAGCCTTGGGACCCAGGACCCGCATGGGAGACCTGAAAGAAGCTCCTGGATCCTGGCTTCGAATGGGCTCAACTTGGGCCATTGTAGCCACTTGGGGAACGAAGCAGCAGACAGAAGGTCTTTCTTTCTGTCTCTTTCTCTCTGTAAATCAGCCTTTCAAATAAAAATAAATCTTAAAAAAAAAAAAGGTAGAACCACAGTCAGTGAGATGCCAGCATATGAGTAGGTAAGACTGAAAATTACAAAACAGATAAACCTTGGTTATATGAATAAAAATGGCATTATTAAATAAGGCTGTTATTACTCACAGTTTATTTGAAAGGAAGAAACAGACACATGTGCCATCTAGCAGTTCGTTCTGCAGATCACTGTGGTAGCCGGGACTGGGCCTAGCTGAAGCCAGGAGCTGGCAGGTTAACCTGGGTCTCCCATGGGAGTGACAGGCCCAAACACACACGCCTGAGCCAACATGTGCTTCCTTGGGTGCCACAAGCAGCCTTCTAGCTTCTGCGTAAAACATCTACCCCTCCCGGATTTTCTTTTTGTTTTGTTTGCGCTGTTTTTTTAGGGGTGGCTGTTGTGACCCAGTAGAGACACAGTGGTGCTTGGGACTGCATAAGTCCTCCTCCCAGGTGGGACTGCTTGGTCGAGTTCTGGCTTGGAGATATGTGACCGAGCTTCCTACTCTTCCTACCCGGGGAGGCAGTAAATGATGGTTCAGTCACTTGGGTCACCAGCATCCACTTGGGAGACCCAGATGGAGTTACTGACTCCTAGCTCTTGCCTGGCCTAGTACCAGCTGTTGTTCTCTCATTTTGTCTTTTTGTTTTTGTTTTTTGTTGATTTGGAAGACAGAATTACAGAGAAAGAGGAAGAGACAGATTTTCAGTCTGTTAATTTATTCACCAGAATGGTCACAATGGCCAGGGCTGGGCAGCACTAAAGCCAGGAATCTGGAATGCTGTCTGAGTGTCCCACATAGGTGGCAAGCATCCAGGCACTTGAGCCATCATTTGCTGCTTTTTCATGCACTTTAACAGGGAGATAGAGGACCCAGCCGGGTGCCCAGGGGCTAAAGGCCTCGCCTTGAACGCACCCATCCCATGTGGGTGCCAGTTCTAATCCCAACAGCTCCGCTTCCCATCCAGCTTCCTGCTTGTGGCCTGGGAAAGCCGTAGAGGACGACCCAAAGCCTTGGGACCCTGCACCCGTGTGGGAGACCCGGAAGAACTCCAGGTTCCTGGCTTCAGATTGGCTCAACCCCAGCAGTTGCAGTCGCTTGGGGAGTGAATCAACAGATGGAAGATCTTCCTCTCTGTTTCTCCTCCTCTATATATCTGACTTTGCAATTAAAAATAAATAAATCTTAGCTGGAACTCCAACCAATGTTCTGACATAGAAATACGTAAAAGATGGGGTGGTTCTGTGGCATAGTTCTGTGGCCTTGTCTGTGGCACTGGCATCCCACATAGGTTCCAGTTAGTGTCCCTCACTCTTTAGCTCTCTAACTTTAACTTTCAAATAAATAAATATATTTTTTAAAGTAATAGAGAGCGTTTCCACCTTATGGTTCACTCCCCAAATGACCAAAACGTCCAGGGCCCTGCCAGGAGCATAGAACTCCAAGTCTTGCCTGTGAATAGAAGGGGCCCAAGTCGTTGGATCATCTTTTGACACTTTCCTAGTAATATGAACGGTGGGGGTGGGGGAGGAGTAAAGATGGCAGTATAAGCTCCTTACTCATGGCCTGAGAAAGCAGTCGAGGACGGCCCAAAGCCTTAGGAGCCTGCACCCATGTGAGTGACCCGGAAGAAATCTGGTTTTGGTTTGTGTCAACTCCAGTCGTCATACATCAACATGGGAAACCGGAAGAGGCTCCTGGCTTCAAATTATCTTGGCTCCAGTAGTTGTGGCCATTTGGAAAGTGAACCAGCAAATGGAAGATCTTTCTTTCTCCTCTCTGTAAATCTCTCTTTCCAATAAAAATCAATACATATATTTAAAAAAAGGGATAAGGGATGCTGGTATATCTCAAGTGGTGGGAACCTGTTTCATGTCACTCACTGTAGGCACAGGACTTGAGCCATCCTCTGTTGTCCTCCTAAACCATAAGCAGGGAGCTGGATAGGAAGTGGAGCAGCTGGGACTGGAACCATATGCAGTACTGATGCTTGAAGGCGGAGGATTATCCTATTGAGCTACGGTGCTGGCCACTGTTATTTGAAAGGCGGAGGCGGAGAGAAAAATCTTTCATCTACTGGTTCACTTCTCAGAAACCTGTTTGGGTTGGGACCAGAGTGAATTGAAAACTCTGGAACCCCGTCTAGGTCTCCCATGTGAGCGTCAGCTGCCCACACACTTGGGCTGTCCTTTGCTGCTTTCCCAGGTACGTTAGTAGGAAGCTGGATCAGCAGTGGGGCCAGCCAGGACTCAAACCAGCACTCATATGGGAAGCCAACATCTCAGGCAGGTGCCAACCCCAATGGTTCGGCTCTTGGGTTGAATTTCTAGGTACCTGTTTTCCTATTAAAAGATGATGGTGTGTCTTGTAGCAAAGGTTATGATTCTCCCCGTAAGGGATCAGTACATATTTGCTAAATGTGATTGGATCTCATCCTGTGGGCTCGGGTTTCGAGGTGGGAGTAGGGCAGTCATCTGAACCTCTCGTCATGCAACAAACAGCATGCTCTGGCTGTCTGCGAAGGTGTTTGATGGTGGATGCAAACCTCCACAGGGAGGTCAGAGGTACTCAAGTCCTCCCTTACTGTTTACCAACAACACGGTTGGTCCCAGGAGGATATGTGGCTTTCTCAGAACCCTGCTGTTGTGAAAGGATTAGAGAGGGTACAGGAATCCAGGTCTCCTAAGTTCTCAGCCAGTATTTATCAGCATATTGGATGGACAGAGCAGATGTTGCTTGCATAACTTGATCTCTTTGGACCCCGTAGACAGGTGAGAGTCCCCCCAGCAGCAGGTGGGGTATTTGGTTTCCCCAGCGTATGACCAGCCAGCCATGTGTTTGCTCCGACTCTGGCCTACTCTCATTTTCCATTGTCTTTCTCAGGGCGCCTTTAGTCTGATTGGTGTTTGGTACCCTCCAGGGCTGGGTGGTCAAGGTAATATTTCAAAGGTGGAGCTGCTAATAACTTGCCTATAGTGTTGAAATGTGGTACCTCCATGGGAAAGGAGATGGTGGGCACAAGGATCCAGAGGTTGTTCTAGCCACTGGGTTTTTGGGTCCTGGCTTCAGGACCCTATACGAGCAGGGCAGTGGGTGGCAGGATTGTGGTAGCCCCAAGTTTGAGTTAGACCTTCCAGGGCCGGCTCACAGCCCCATCTCGGAATTCAGATCATTCTTTCTTTCCCTCTGTCTGCCAGTTCTTGGTGTCAGCTGCATGGATGGGCAGTCACCGACCTCTTCAGGCTGAGGAGGTCATGCTGCTTGCAGGCAAAGCTGAGCCTTGCTGAGGCCCGTGGAGCGGCCGGAGCTGGTGGAGAGGGTCTGCTCTCTGTGATGAAGACATTGGCAGTCCCAGCCTCAGGCCTCTCACTGCCTTGCGCTTTGTTCAGACCCCAAATCCGTCCTGAGTCTGCATTGTGAGCACTTAGTGCGTTGGCAGCCTGGGCACTAATGACTGTCAGTCTAGCCTGCTTACCCCATGGCTGCTGGGAGGCTGAGAAGTACAGCAGAGGGTAGTTTGTAACCAGAGACCCCTTCGGGGTAGAGTGGAGACAGGGGCCCCTGCCTGGGATTGATTTCTGTCTTCACCCTCCTCGCTCTCAGTCGCTCTGTGTGTCTCGCGCCTAACCACTGCTGAAGCTGAGCACAGATGGCGAGGGGGCATCTGACGCTACAGCATAGGTGCTGATGGCTCAAGTCGTTGGGTCCCCATCACCCACTGGGAGACCCAGATTGAGTCCCTGACTTCTGTCCTTGGCCTGGCTCTGGTCTGGCTCTGGTGGGCACTCGGGGAATGAACCAGTAGATGGAAGAGCTCTCAGTGTCTATGTACCTTTAAGATAAAATTGAATAGAAATTTTTTAAAAGGTAGAAATTTAAAAAAAAAAAATTGAGTGGAGAGAATGAACTCTTTTCCTCCAGCCCAGAAAGAGCTGGGAGTGGGGGCAGCATGGTTTCCTGTCTGAACAGGAAACATGCAGGATAGTGTGGTTAGGGGAGCTTGTGGGTCTGGATCCTGAGGGACGCAGTGCAGCATGGGAAGGACTCCCTGCGCAGGAAGCTGCTTCTGGAGCTTTCCATGCTGTGACATCCCAGGAAGCAACTTGGCCCAGGAATGCTGTGCTGTGTCCTGTTTTTGTGAATGGTCAGTTTCACACACAGGCAGGCAGGTGCCACGCTGCCCTCTGGCTTCCTTCACACCAACCCCACCCAGCCTGGTGCTGACACTGAGCTGTGAAAGGGCTTCTCTCCTGGGTCCTCCGCTGTTCCAGCTTCCTGTGCAAAGCCTACAAGGCTCACCGGGCAACGCCCTAGCCTCCTTGTGCCACTTCATTTCCTGCCACGCCTCTGCCATTGCCCATCCCCTACTGACTCGGGCACAGACTTGGCCTTTTCCTTCAAGCCTTTCATCTGCCGTTACTTCTGTGCAGAAAACTGTCCCCACTGGAAACCCTGCTGAGGCAGCTCACTTCCCCTGGCCCACACAGTGCTCCCCGACCTGTGGCACCACATCTGCTGTGCTGCCACGCCCCTTCCCTGGCCAGTCGCCTCCAGAGACCCAGTTATGTGTTCACTGCCACGTCACCTGGCGTCCAGCTCAGTGCCTGGTGTGCAGTGGGTACTTCTGTCGCTGCTGGAGCAGGGACTGCATGGATGAACTCATTTGTTGTTCCGTGACAGGAATGGGAAAAGGACAGCACAGGATGCCTTCTAAGGATGAGCTGGTCCAGAGATACAACAGGATGAACACCATCCCCCAGGTACCACCAGCAGGCCTTGCTCTCTGCGGCAGACACCTTCTCTGGGACTGGTTCAGGCTGCAGAGGTGGGTGGGGACAGTCGGGCAGGGTGACCGGAGAGCACTTGAAGGAGTTCGTGTGCGCTCAGTCCTACAGTGGGATGAAAATGGGAAGCCCAATGCATGGTTCCTTCTGACTGGTAGTGGGAAAGTAAGGTTTTGTGGAGTGGCTGGGAGCACAGGAGGCTCTGATGCCAATCCAGTCTCCGGCCACTGACCAGCCTTGTAGGAAAAGCTATCACCTTTGGCCTGCCTCTGCTTTCCTTGGATTCCTTCTCTTGCAGACCCGATCCATTCAGTCAAGGTTCCTGCAGAGTCGGAATCTAAACTGCATAGCACTTTGTGAAGGTAGGTGCCTGTTTCTGAGGTCCTCGGCATTTATTTCTGATGTACCTTTGGCCCATGGTCTGCCCCTGGTGGCGTCGAAGCTTGGTGTCTTCCTTCCCCCGGCGTTACCCTGCCTTAAGCATTCTGCCCCTGATACGTGACCTCTTGTGCCCAGTGATTACATCCAAGGACCTCCAGAAGCACGGCAACATCTGGGTGTGCCCTGTGTCTGACCATGTCTGCACTCGGTTCTTCTTCGTGTAAGTCTCAGGAGGCAGGGAGGGTGTGGTGTATGGGCTGTGGCTCCAGGGAAAGCCCTTCTCTGTCCCCCCAGAGTGGGTAACACTCAGACATCCCTGGAAGGCTGGGGATGAGCAGATCCTGCTGGAGAGGGTTGGGGCGGAGTGCTGAGCCGGGGTAGTCACTGCTGCGTGGTGCCCGCCCTCATGCTAATGTGCACCGTCTTTGGCAGGTATGAGGATGGGCAGGTGGGCGATGCCAACATTAATACTCAGGACCCCAAGATACAGAAGGAAATCATGCGTGTGATCGGAACTCAGGTTTACACAAACTGAGGGGGCTGCAGCCCTCCTTCCACCCCGACCCCAGGATCCATCTGCTCTGGTGAAGGGCTCAGGAGCCGCAGAGGAGGCTGACCTGAGGAATCAAGGGGCCAGTACCTAGGAGAAGAACAAGGATAGAAGAGGAGACCACGAAGGAACCACTCCACATCCGGATGGCCCTGACTGACTCCGACGCCTAGTGTCCCCACTTGACTTCCCCCGTTTGTAAATAAACCAATAAAATGGAAGGTGCTGTGGACTGGGTATGATCACTGTGGTCTGACTAGTCTCGGCCCGGCACCTGCCGCAAGCCCTCACACGGGGGGGGGGGATTAGTCTGAGAGTTAAGACTGTGTATTGCATGGAGTCAACACTGAGCGTTAAAAAAAAAAAGATTTATTTATAATTTTTTTTTTGCAAAATTAGATTTGCAGAGAGGAGGAAAGATGGAAAGAAAGGTCCTCCATCCGATGATTCACTCCCTAAGTGGCCACAACAGCTGGAGCTAAACCTACCCAGAGCCTAGAGCTTCTTCCCAGTCTCCCACGCGGGTTGCAGGGTCCTGAGACTTTGGGCCATCCTCGACTACTTTCCCAGGACACAAGCAGGGAAGCGGGGCTGCAGGGACACAAACCGGCACCCATATGGAATCCTGGTGTGTTCAAGGCAAGGACTTTAGCCACAAGGCCAACGCACCGGGCCCAACACTGAGCATTTGTATAATACCTGAAAGAAAGAAGGGCTTTGAGACCTGAAGAGTGTTGGTTTTCTACTCTTAGGACCTACTTCTGCCTGCCTGGAATGCCCAGCCACCGTCACTGCGGGTCCCTTCACCCCGCTCCCTTGTCTTTCCAGCTGTTTCTCTAAATGCAGTGGCACACGGAGGAAGTTAGGTTGATTTCTAACTTGGAATCTGTAGAGCTGGAATGGTGACATCTTTTTTCTGTCAAGAACCACTTGGGTATTCATAATACTATTCCCAGCCCATACAAAAACTAAGCCTGTAGGTTTGCTGCATTTTCAGTCCCGCCTGTGGTTGCTTTGACCACATGAATTTTGCATGCCTCAGGTGGTCCATGGGCTGGGTATTCCCACCCCTGCAAGATACCCTGAGGGTTGGTACTTAGTGGTGCAGCATGCAGACACCAGCTTCCTGCTCATGAGCACCCAGGGAGGCAGCAGGTAGCCATGGCTCAGGTATTTGTGTCTGCCACCTGCATGGGAGACCTGTACTCATCTCCAGTCTCCTGCCTCTGCGTGGCTGAGCCCCAGTTTTGGTGTGTTTGGGAAGTGAACAGTAGATAGAGCAGACTCTTGTTCTCTCAGTCTTTTTCAAATAAAGAAACTTTAAAAAACAAAACTCTTCGGTAGTCCCTCTGTTGTGCCCAGAGTTTGTGATCCCCAGAAAATTATCAGGAGTCTGAAGTCAGTGCAAACGCGTAGGGACGGTTTATTCAGACTAACCTAAGCTCCCAGCCCAGCAGGCCGGGGGCGCTGCAGCAGCCTAGGCAGAGGCCAAAGCAGGAAAAGCTGCAGAAGAGAGCGAGGTTGAGCAGCACAGAGTTCTTACACATCTCAGGCCAATTCCACACAACTATACAGTTAAGATTGATCAGTTTATTTGTTAACTTTTTTTTTTAAGATTTATTTATTTTTATTACAAAGACATACAGAGAGGAGGAGAGACAGGGAGAAAGATCTTCCATCGGATGATTCACTCCCCAAGTGAGCACAATGGCCGGTGCTGTGCCGATCCAGAGCCAGGAACCAGAAGATTCCTCTAGGTCTCCCACGCGGTGCAGGGTCCCAAGGCTTTGGGCCATCCTCGACTGCCTTATCAGGCCACAAGCAGAGAGCTGAATGGGAAGTGGAGCTTCCGGGATTAGAACCGGCACCCATATGGGATCCTGGCACATTCAAGGCGAGGACTTTAGCTGCCAGGCCACGCTGCTGGGCCCTGTTAACTTTTAAAAAGCAAATTGGCAGGCTTCTATTGGCGGGTTTGAAGCAAGCTTCAAAAAGTACAAACTGGTGGGCTGTAGGGCAGTGAGCCACTTATCTGACAAGTACACCAGGGCTCTCCTTCCTGAGCAGGGCTCTGCCTGCCTGACCTGCCAGGTGTCACATTGACCGTCAGGCCTGGAGTTCACACAGCTCCCAGCCAAGCCAGCAAGGCAGAAATCACAGAAGCAGAAACCACCTAGGTTCCTCACCTCCACAGGGACTCGAGGTGTGACGTCTGCACTGAGAACTGTGGGACACAGGGTGCACAGCGAGATGAACCAATGCACGCTGTATTGAACTCTGGGCTTCTTAGGCCATTTTGTTTTGCAGGACAAGCAGGTTGGTGAAAGTTGCAAGTTAACTGAAGAATGGTACACAAACTGCTCCAACAATAGAATACAAGCGATGGGGGGGGACAATCACCAGGTTGCGAGCAGCCAGACAGGTAAAAACAAGTGACAGGAATCCACACCGGTAAACAAACTTCTAACTAAAAAAGGAATCTAACAGAACTTTGCACTCAGATTCAAGGAAGATGGTAAAGCACCTTGCACCTGCCCACAGGTTTATCTGCAGTCCCACAGGGAGTCTGCTCCCTGCAGCATTACGGGTCTGCTGAGAAGGGTTGAGATGTGGAGTCCTCAAGCACCGTGATCTGGTTCTTGAGGGGCAGATCTCCACAATTATTAAATGTCCACGCAAAACATCCTGAAAGAATCCTGCTTCTCTTGAAACCCAGGCTCGGGCCCAGCACAGCGGCGCAAGTGGTTAAGGTCCTCCCCTTGCACGCCCGGGATCCCATATGGGCGCCGGTTCTAATCCCAGCAGCCCCGCTTCCCTTCCAGCTCCCTGCCTGTGGCCCGGGAAAGCAGTCAAGGACAGCCCAAAGCTTTGGGACCCTGACCCACGTGGGGGACCCGGAAGAGGCTCCTGGCTTCGGACCGGCATAGCATCAGCTGTTGCGATCACTTGGGGAGTGAATCATCGGAAGGAAGATCTTCCTCTCTGTCTCTCCTCTCTGTATATCTGCCTTTCCAATAAAAAAAAAAATAAAAAACGGGTCGGTAAAGACGATAAAGGAAGGCAGCCATTTCAGGAAGTGGAATGTCTCGGTGGGTTTATCTTGTCATTCCTGTTGCAAACAGGAATGCAAAAAAAAAAAAAAAAGGAATGCAAAAGTGGAGCTGCTGGGACTAGAACCTGCGCCCATATGGGATCCCAGAATGTTCAAGGTGAGGACTTTAGCCACCAGGCCATAGCGCTGGGCCCCCCTAATAGCTTCGTTTTAAAAAAAACAATTATTCATGGTCCTAGTGCAGTAGCCTAGTGTCTAAAGTCCTTGCCTTACATGTACCAAGATCCCACATGTGTTTTGGTTTGTGTCTTGACGTCCCCACCTCCCATCCAGCTCCCTGCTTGTGGCCTGGGAAAGCAGTCAAGGACGGCCCAAAGCCTTGGGACCCTGCACCTGCCTGAGACCTGGAGGAATCTTCTGGCTACTGGCTCTGGATCGGCTTATCACCAGCTGTTGTGGCCACTTGGGGAGTGAATCATCAGACAGAAGATCTTTCTCTTTCTCCTCCTTTCTGTAAATCTGACTTCCCAATAAAAATAAATGAACCTTTAAAAATAACTATTGCTCCCGGCACGGTGGTGCAGTGGTTAAGGTCCTCCCCTTGCACGCCCGGGATCCCATATGGGCGCCGGTTCTAATCCCGGCAGCCCTGCTTCCCTTCCAGCTCCCTGCCTGTGGCCTGGGAAAGCAGTCGAGGACAGCCCAAAGCTTTGGGAACCTGCACCCACGTGGGAGACCGGGAAGAGGCTCCTGGCTTCGGACTGGCATAGCATCGGCCGTTGCACTCCCTTGGGGAGTGAATCATTGGACAGAAGATCTTCCTCTCTGTCTCTTCTCTCTGTATATCTGCCTTTCCAATAAAAACAATAAAAATAAATCTTTAAAAAAAATAAATAACTATTGCTATTATTCATTTGCGAGGGAGAGACAGAAACAAAATTTGCTATGCTGGTTTACTACCCAAGTGGCTTCAACACCCAAGGCCACAGCAGCTGAAGCCAAGAGTCTGAAACTCCACCCAGGTCAGTGGCAGGGGCACAGGTACGTCGGCCATCTTACTCTGCTTTCTCAGACATGTTAGCAGGAAGCTCGATTGCAAGTGGGGCTGGTAGGGCTGTCCATATTGCAGGCAGTGACTTCAACAGCTCTGGCCAACATTGGGCCCTATTAGCTTTTTGATTTACAAGCTAACCCTAACTTGCTTTCCTAAGGTTGGCCATGAGTTATAGATGCCTGGATATTGGACCTTACTGTGTGATTCAGGGTCTGCTGAAATGTGGAAAACCCTTTCCTAAGCCCTAGGCACTGTTTCTTAAATTCCTTCCTTATCAAGACTAGTCCAAGGTGTCCTTGTCCCACGCTGGTTTTAAGTCCAGCAGCAATGTCTCTGCCAAGAATGTGACCTGTCACAGCCCGTGCTTGTGGGAATCCCTGCCTGCTGGAAGGACCCTGGCGGGGAGGTGTACAGAAACAGGGCTGCCTGGCACCTCTAAACTTTCTGGGTGGGTACTAAGCATTGTCATTTACTAGCAATTCATACGACTGGCAGGCGCTTACACTGTTCCTGGTGCCAGCACTGCCGTCGGGCAGTTCAGCCTTTTGGGTTTCCCATTGACTCCTGAGAACAAGGCTAAAAGATGGCTTTTCTCTAGTGATGACATTAAATTCCTCCAAGGTCTCACAGCTGCTCAGGCAAGTGCCGGGTATCTAACTAGATTTTTCCCAAGTCCAAACCTTCTGGTCTCAGGTGTGTTCTAGAAGTCCTCAAGTGGCTCTGTTGTTGCTGTGGTAGAAAACAAACAGTACAAATTGGCCACAGGTTTTTCTTTTGTCTGTTTACTTGAAAGAGATCCATCGTCCGTCTGTTACTTCACTCTGCAAATGGTCTCAACGGCTGGAGCCAGGAGCTTCATCTGGATCTCCCACGCAGGTGCAGGGTTTCGAGGACTTGGGCCGTCCCTCTGCTGCCTTCCCAGGCCATGAGCAGAGGGCTGTGTAGGAAGCAGAGCAGCTGGGACCCCAGCCAGCCCCATGTGAGATGCCTGCACTGTGCATGGCTTTACCTACGACGCTACAGCACCAGCCTCAGGTTTTTCTTCATTGTTAGCATTTCTTCACTTAATCAGTGGCATCTGATATATAACCAAATACTAGCAAATGGCGAATGGTGGAATGAGAGC